TTTACTGATAGTATAGGCCTTATCTGAATTCTGATTTAAACAATCTCTAAAAATACATAAATTCACTCCAGACCTTCATCTAATTAGGGACATTTGAACACTCATTAAATATTTAATACTCAAAGAATTACTGTTCAGTTTGGGGGTATTATAATGATATTGTGATTATGGCTACAAAAAAAGGAGACTTTACTTTTAGAGATAGATATTGAAATATTTACAGATATGATGATAAAATGTCTTGGATTGGCTTCAAAATAATCTGATGAGGAGGCCGTAGGTAGCATACAGATAAAACTAGCTTGTCTGTGAGTTGATAGTTCTTCAAGTTCGGTATCCCTACCTGAATAACTAACAGGGTATTCAAAGAAGTGAATTTAAATACAAGATTACATGAAAAGGAAGTTTGGGCAATTATGATAAAAAAGTGGAAGGACTTGGTCAATACCATGTATGTCCCACAAAGCGGAGTGCCAAGGCACAGGAGACATGTTCTTTGGGAGGTTGGATGCTTATACAATAAGCAGTCATATCTGTTCTACAATAATTATTCCTTCCATGCCTCACTAGTAAGACAGGTTCAAGTTTCCTACATAAGCTTCCTAACAAAGAGGAGACAGCCGTCACAGGCGGACTCTCCCAGGTAAGCATATATGTCAGCCTGACCCAGAGGCAGTCACCAAAGGAGAAGTCTGTGGGGGCAGCGGCGGACCCAGGGAGAACGCCGTGGGGAGTCTGACGCACAGATCTGGTCAGTGTAGTCAAGGTGGGGCTCGTGCCCATGGCTACAGGAGCCCACAGGGTTCCAGAGCTTCCCCAGGAATCTGTGTAAGTGAAGCAGCACGAGGAATGACATGCTGGCAACAAAAATGGGAAAGAAACCCTTTGGTAGGAAAAAAAACCAACCTAAAATCTTATAAAGTTAATGCCATTGATTTTTATTTGTTTTTCCTGGCATCATTATATGTTTTAAGTAGTAACATTAAGATCTGATTTTAAAATTTTCTAAGTGATTTTAAGGCCTATCAGGAGAATACTACTGTAATTCAAGTAGCCAAAACTATGAAACAAAGACCAGGACTGTGAAAGAAAGAAGTTCTGCATCTTGAAACATAAAAGTAGAGTTTGATACCCTACTAGTTACTCATGGATACATTATTTTAGTTTTTTTATTTTATTTTTTAATCCCCATGAAAACCTGGAGTTTATATCAGTGGTTCTCAAGGAAGGAGTTCATATTTCAGAGGACATGGAAAGGAGGAAGAAGTTGGCAGCTCCAATTTAAAAATAACTCCAGGTGGTTCTTATATACTGTGCCCTCACTAGAGGACCACTGCTTTCTTGGAGGCCTGTGTGCAGCTAAAATGCACCTGAGATCATCAACATGGAAAGCTGGCCATTACTATTTCAGACACCCCTTCAAACTAGGTAGAGCTGCCATGTTAGACAAAGGAGAATGAAACTACCAGTCCTCCGTCAGGGCTCACACACCTGCCTATCTGCCCAGCACGGGAGCAGCTCTGAGCTGGGAAGGCGGCGGAGGACCAGAGCAGAGCCCGCTGCAGGCCAGCTGCCCACAAGGACGTGCACATCTCTGCCTGCCTGCTCCACTGCTTCCATTTGGCTGAGGGCTGACGACAGGCAGATGCTGCAGTACTCTTTGCAGTCAAACTTGTGAGCACCACAGAAAAGAGCTCGAGCAAAGTGTTTGACCAGACACCAAAACCACTCCTTGCATCTCTGCAATCTTCTTTCATCCTCTGACATGCCTGAGACAATTACGGCTGCTGACAATGCTGACTAGTTCCATGTGAACAAAACACACAGACCAATAACAGCATCCCTCAGTACAAGTAATCCTGACTTTCATTCCAGATAGGCCTGTTTCTTTGATTATTTACAGTGTCCACAAACCTGTTCTTTCTCCAATAAGAGTGGGGGCTGTTTTAAGTAGGCAACACCTTCTGTGAAGCACATTAAAACATGCAGTGCCCTGGGCTGAAATGAGTAGTGGAATGCCACACAGCTTATGACTATGACAGTGGTTTGGTGTCTAAGATCCTTCTCAGGACGACTCCCCTGACTACAGATACACAGGGAGTCTACTGTCTATAAAAGGATTTGGCAGCAGGTGAAAAGAAGCGCCCTCCCCACAACCCCCATAGCAATATACCACACAGTCCACGAAATTAAAAGCCTTAGTAATATCAGGTAATGCTTCAGCTCTGTTAACTTTCAAATTATTTAAAAGTCACAAAAATTATTAACATTTATATTAATATTAAAATTATACCCACAACTAAGTTAAAACCAAATCGTTTATTCTAGTTGAGCGCTAAAAATTCTCTGTGTCAGAATGACTTCCACTCCCACTATTTTATTAACATTACTCTTCTAAATTTCCCTAAGTAACAGATTACATGTAGGGCACAGCTGGTGTTAGAAACATTTAGATTTATGACCAAAGAATTGGGAAACATTTGCAAGTTGCACCCATCTTTCCCATTCTAGTCTTCACCATGTTTTTAGGACATCTGTCAATATGGTATGTGTCCCAGTGTGGGCAGGACTTGAGAAGGAGAGGAAAAATGAATTCCTTTGTAAAGACAAAGGCTTCTGTTTTAGGTTCCCCAAAGCAGGGGCATCACATCACCCCCACCTGAACATATAGGGAACCTTTTCAAAGGAGCGACAGTAAAGGAACAGATTTAAGGATCTAATTAGTCAAACTATGATCTTTGCATGAGGTGAGCAAAAACCTGCGGGTATGGAAAAAAAGAAAAAGGGATAATCAGTCTGGACGGGAAAAGCCACTCTGATATCTAGAATGTCAAGACCTGGGATGGACTGTGCACAATGCCAGACTAAACGGCATCTAAAAGTAAAACAAAAATAAAGCACAACAAAAGGCAACCAAACAAACAACTAAGCCAAAATTGAAAATACCCTTTTGAAAGACCAGTCAGGCAGTATCTCCCCCAAGGTAACAATGATAATTCAGTTATTCTGGTCTTATTTAAATTATATGCAGGCATTTTCTTGAGGTAAACTTGGCTAAACAGAGCAAATATGGACAGACGTGTTCTTGAAAAGAAGATATTTTCACAGCTGAATACACCATTCACACCAAATCGAAGCCCCAGATACCTGCATAGCCTTGGAAAGTATGAGCGTTGGATCAATATGACACACATACGTCCTCCCTGATCTTACCTACCACTAAATGTAGAAAACCCTTTGGTGTGGAGGGCTTTGCCTGACTATCATAAGCATTCCCCATAGCAAATCTGAATAAATCCCTAGAACATTTTCAATTCTTAACTACTAGTAAAATATTTATATTCTTTTAACTGAAATTAGTATTTGACTACTTCTAAAAATATAAGCCCTCCTCTATGTCACTCAGCCATCAGGCAATCAAATCAACCAAACTTCTTAGTCAAAGAGGATTAAGAAGTGAAGTGAATTAAGATGAGTTAATGGAATAACAAAATATTTGAAGATAAAATATCTAAGTATATGTACAGAATGTAATTGTAATACTTACCTATCAGGCCCTTCTCGAGAGTGAAGGTTTTGTTTGTAAACATACATTCAAAAGCCACAATGTGAAAAATCTTGTTCACTGTGTTATGAGTCCCAACTATTCGAATGTACCTGGGGGTAAAAAAGAAAAGAAAATGTGTTGAAGAAAATGAGCTTCCATCACAACCAACCCAAAAATAACAGAATTAAGACACATTATGTAAACACACAGTGTACCAGGACATGGACTAAAGGAGACTTTGAACTTGACTTCAGACCCTGCACCTGCTCCTTAGGGCTACCTCCAACTGAGCCTAGAAGAATTACAGCAAAATTAGGGAGACAGCCCTTTCCAGCGAACTAAGTTGAACTTAGATTTGATTTACCCAGAAAATCACACCAGGCACTGTTCAGCTCAACCCCTGAATGTCAGTACAATTATATGTCCACAAGACACTTGCGCTGGTGAATAACAAACAGCCTCTATGTTCGCCTGGGTTAGGAACGTGTGTGTGCACAGGGGCACACACACACATGCAAAATCCAATGTTTTCCAACTCAGTGAGAGATTTCATCCATTGGAGACAAATGCACGAAATCAATATTGCTTTCTTGTTCAAAAGAAAAATCCACAGACACTTCTGGAAACCACTCACAGTTTCTCTTGTATTTTAATATCGCTCCCAAATCCTTGTTACAAAGTTAACCCTAGACACTTACCCCAGCTCCCCACCTGACTGGTGGGCAGCCTTCTCCTGACTAGAGGAAGTGATCTGCAGAGGTGACCCAGCCTGCTCTCAGCCTCCCTCCTGGCCACACGGATCTGGCACCTGCACACAGTGCAGAGTTTCACAGGGCAGGTTTTGAGCATCTTGGCCTGTTTCCCCTGTGTGTCTCCCTGGAGGCTTCACCTCCAACAAACAAGCATTAACCTTGCAGTGACTTGCTCCTTTCACTCTCCAAAGGGGCCTGACAGTTCACAGGTTAATGAACAGACAAAGTCATCTTTCTGAGTGCCACACAAATCCACGGGGATTGTGCCACACACCGTCTTACTGGAAGTCAAAGGAAGAACGAGGAAAAATAACCAGATTAACTGATAACGTTCTCCCAAATTATGAGCTATGCGATCTGCAGGATGGGGCATATTACACGAACAGATTTCAATTAGGAGATGAAAGACTGGGTGAGCGCTTAGCAATATCCTCTCTCCGCTGCGTAAAACAACCTTCGACTTAGATGATACAATTTTACTTCTGAGTTAATCGCTGTTCACTAATTTGGTAATTCCCTTACATTTCTCATTACTCCAAGTTAACTGTATAATGTAAATGCCGATTTAAAAAATTCACATTACGGAGACTGTATGTGGGGTTTTTATATCCCGGGCTATTTTCCCTCCTGTTTCTTCAAGCCTGCATTTCACAGCATTCCCTGCGCACCTCATTGAGCCATCTGCTGCCTGACATGAGCTGATCACTCATCTTCATAACCAATCTAACTGCTATCTCCTGGACTGGCTGTTCAGTGTGCCTACACCCACTGCAAGGAGATATGGTTCTCCCGGTGTGGAGAGTCCGGGCAACTGGTGCATCACCAAAGCCTGCCCGGTGTGGCAGGGGGTTGACCCCAATCTGTTCTCATGCGCCCTCAGGCAGACAGAGGGTGCCGACTGTACCGGATTTGTGTGGCTGGGTGGGGTCCATTTAAGATAAATTCTAAATGGTCTGGGTAGAACAGATTGTGTTGTCCTTTAATGTTGGTGGGGACACTCTCTGGGCTTTCTGGAAGGGAAGGGGTGTGTTAAGCCTGGCACGTTGGTCTGCATCTAATTTTGTCCATCTCCTTAAACCCACAGGAGCATTTTCAACCGCTCACGGGCACGGCAGCCTGAGTGCTGTGGTCTGCAGCCTTGGGAGGGCATGGAGAGAATGTGGTTTGGTGGAATTTGATCAGATCACTCTCCTGTTCCCTAGGTCGGGTCTCTAGCAAAGGCGAGGCAGCTCACCTAATACTGTGCGAGGCGGAGGAGCCAGGGAGAGACGAACAGGGCCTTTCCCCATCGGCAGCTTTGGAGGGTAACAGTCCGCTGACCTAAGGGGAGGCAGTGATGGTCCCTCCCTCCCTTTCTTTCTTTTAAAAACATTATGTGGAACCTGGATCTCCAAGTTTAGATAATTGTCATTTCCCAAATTTTACCCTGGTGCAAATGTTAGGAATAGGAGAAAATATGCAATCTTCCCCTCCCTCGTCCCCCAACTATAAAAACCTGAAAATAAAAAAAAAACTGTACTGGAATACATTTTACAGACTTAATGATGGTGTTTGTGATAACAAACAAGACAATATATAAGGTTGGAAAAGCACTGAGAGATGCCTGCAGATAAAAAGTTCTATATAAGTGAAGATAATGTTATCTCTGCTGCATAATCCTGAGGTCAAATTAGCATTTCACCACTGTATATCACACTTCTTATATGGAATGCTCATAACAAGTTTAATTATACCAGTTCTACAATACTTTCTAAGTCTCCATAAAATTAGAGCATAATTTACAAAAATAGCATAAAGTCCCTATTCAAATACATATTTAAAACAACGGTAACAAAATCACAAGAAAGAAGCCAGGCTCCTTTTCTCCAGCAAGGAGCTGCTGAGCATAGGACTCTGTCCTTTATTAGACATCTCAGCTAGAATTAGCAGCTAGGCCTCACCTCACCCCCCACCTTCAGAGACTGGTAGGGCAGCCTGGAGCTGTGCACGAAGAACTTAGAGACCCTGCCCAGCTCAGGGCGAGCAGTGCCCTGACCCGTGAGCCACGCCCAGAAGAAGGGGGAGGCAGTGCAGATACCACCCTTGAGCATGAGCAGATTTCCTTAATGGGACTCACAACAGAGCCTCCCCCAGGGAGAAGAGAAGTTATTACTACCTAAGATACTGAAAATTCAAGAGATGGGGAAGGGAAAGAGTCCTCTCTCTCTTTTTAATTTTTTTTTTTAAAAACTTGCTTCTGGGTGATAACGCCTAAAGAGGAGAAGATACCACATGTTTTCTGTCACAAAAGATTTTGAATTAAAGGCAAAGTTTAAGGTTAATTTCTTTCCTTTCACCATCATCTCTCCCATGTACAGTAAAACTCTAATTTAACCTGATAATAAGGGCAGTGACAGCTAGTGACTTCATCAGTGTTCAGACAGGAGCACTGCTGAAAATGTAACAGCTCTCCTTTGTTCTCTCTGAGGTCCTCAACAGCAGCTCAGACAGTTGGAAGATAATTAAAACTTAAACAGCGCGGAGGAAGGCAGAGAAGCAACAGATCAGCCATTTTGGGTGCGGACACATGCTGTCCACATGAGCCCCAATGTAGCAGTCTGTTTCTGGTACTCTCCTCCCTTCCCTGTGTTAGTTGTCTTCCAGTTACTGACAAAGACCGGATCCGGAACACAGTCCAGAACAGGATGTCTCACTGCAGAAGTTTCTTGGAGCTATAATACCGTGGGTGAAAAGAGACTCTGTCTTCTTTAATAAAACGAAACCTAACATCTCCAAGGATAGCTAAAATTGAGAAAGACACTGGAAGGTTCTGAAAAATGTGCCTTACAGTCTAACTGACCAGGTTTGCGGCCCGTCCCCATCACTCAGTCAGCTGGGTGACTGGGAAAAAAATGCTTTAAGCCTTTCTGAATCTTAGTCTCTTTCTCTATAAAATGAGGTCAGCAACCCAAAACTTACAGGATATTTAAAGGACATAAGTAATATGTGTTATAGTAAAAAGCTACATTCCAAGTTGCAAGTGACCTGGCTCTATGGTATTTCCTGCTTTCAGGCCCTAGTCTTTAGAAAAGCCTATTTAAAAAATTCTTGACCTAACTCAGCTATGCGTGAGGCGGAGAGGGAACAATCTTTTGCGCATGTCAGTCTAGCTGCCCATACCCACAAGCGTTTCTTTTTTTGTGTGCAAACACTGGAAGTTTCAGAAAAACAGCATTTCCCAGCAGAGAGATATCATAATACTGTGACCTAGGGCAATTTTGCTTCAGAGATTTCATTGGATTCCCTGCCTGCTCTGGGAAGGTACAAATTCCTAGTCTTAACCGATCTTGCCATCAGTTCTTGTCAGGATGCTATTACATTTAATTTCGAAGTCACATGCAGTATATCTTTAACATACTAAAGAAAACAGAGAAAAACAGCAACGTACATGCTCCCGCTTTGAACCCCTTGGTATTCTCTCTAGCCTTTAGCTCTGGTGGAGCACACACGTACTTGTGGTTATAATTAATCCTTAACCTTTGCCTCTAGTTATATGATCACCTAACTTCTGTACTGAGCAGGTTCTACTACAAGATAACATTGACTTCAGGAAGAAATATTTAAATGAGCTCTCAAGGGATCAACTACAGCCAAAATCCATCAGAATTTTATCCTTTAGTAAACAAAGTTTTATTCTCAAAGTGAACTTCATATCCTTGGGTTAAACAAAGGCTCTTGAGAAAACTAGAGTTAGCCTGAGACTAGTGCACAAGAAGGGATCCTGAACATTTGGTTCTTCCTCTGAGGCAGCCAGAGAGAACCCTAAGGAGAAAAACTGTTCTTTACTCAGCCAGGTGTAGTCACATACCAAAAACTCTTACTACAGCATTTACTAGGGACTTGGGATCATGTGGCGCGCGGATTCACCATTTCCACGATTTCCTATGTGACCTTTCTTTTCAAGGAGATTCTAGGAATGTACATAAATAATCCCCTAACCCAAAAAGCAGTCATGTCTGTGGTTTCCCCAGTATGATATTTTCTTGTAGTTCTACATACAATGTTAGTGCTCTTATATTCAAACCACAGACTGGAGGGGGAAGCGACTTCATGTCTTGTTGCTAAGGCAGCAAGTAGAAAACAGTTTACTGCCAGAATGACAAAAGGCTTCTAGAAAAAGCATGTTGCCACAGAAAAGATTTGTTACTCTTAGAAAACCTTCCCTCTGGCTGATGTGTGGAGCTATAGATTCTCCTCTCCTGACTTCAGCAAAGGTTCCCAGCAGCATTTGCTTATTTGGGAGAGGAAGAATTATGGAAAGGTTAAATGCTGTGTCCAGAGTTAGCCTGGGCAGAGGCTGCCACCTCAGGGAGCAGTCC